AAAATGAAGACTTTATTTTTTATTTTTTACAAATAAATATATATTTATATCTCCAGAACCCCAGCACCCAGTATGGTATAAAGTAGCAAAAAAAAAAAAAAAAGTATGTATAGCTACTAATTTTCATTACAACCAAAGTGTCCTAAACAATTATGATAACTATGATCTGCTGACAATGAGCCAAACAAAGCAGACATCACCAGATGATAAAGCATTTCTGAATGAAGATTTTATCCTTAATACCAGCTCTGCTTTGTATGCTGAAGTCCAAGGCAAATAAAGTCAGAGATGCCCAAAGCAATGCAAAGCCCAATGACTTTAGACGGGCATGATGGAGATAAGAGGAAACGCTGATCATATTATCAGATACTTGAAAACTACAGTAAGTGCCTGGAAAGAAACCAGAGCAGATATTTAAAACACTATTTGTAAGGATGGACTGCTTTTTTGAGTACGTGTGTAGGCTGACTACAGTAGTGATTAAATTCACAACTTGCAGATAAAACAGCATGAGCTTCCACGGCTTGAACTGAAACACCAGGCTCCTTTAATAAAGCTGTGACACACCCAGCTTCTGTTTGTGCCCCAGACATTTTTTTTAAATGTCTAAAATGCCATGAGCCCTCTTCTAACTAAACTGTCCAACGCTCCACAACATAAAAGAACAAATGTCAATAATCTACAGAGAGCCACTGATAATGGTAGCAAAAAAAACAAATGTAAGAAATATTCCTAAAACCTTGCATTTTAAAAGTAACAAAAAGGGAATCCATAGAGGGAACTCAAGATTTTCTAATGCAATTTTCTGCTCTAACAGTTTGCAGATGAGTGACTATTAGTCACTGAAAAAGGTATGACACTGCACCCACTGCATGGCATCTTTGGAGTCTTTGTGGTAAGCCATCTGCCACAGTGGTTTTCAAAACCTCTTTCAGAACCAACATCAGACAACATCTCCTGCAGTTTGCTAAAAGCAAAATTTTTGACTGTCATCCATTTTTTTTCTTTAAATTATAAAACTAAATGGCTCAAAAGCAGAAATAGGCTCCCTCACCCTTGAAGTGACACAAAAGTGAGGTGTTTTTTTTTCCTCCTCTCCTCCACAAAACAGTTTGCAGGGACAGTGCTGATGCGTTTGCTGTGCAGAGCAGATGCAGAAACCCAAACAAGTTCCTCAATATTTCGTAGTTTGCACTGCACACTTGTTTTTTTTAAATCCCCAGGCTTTAACTGCAAACTAGTGTGCACTCATGAAATCACGGAACCCCTTACAGTGCAATTTCTTTGGGTTTTGCCCAGCCATAGAAACTATTTGTCAAATACATCTGAGAGTCTAGACCATATTAAAAGCAGCTTGATTATTACTAACTCCAGCTTATACAGTTGTCAAGACAACAGAGTGAATATCATCATTAACAGAAACTGCTTCTATAAAACTGGAAATCATAGCTGAAGCTTCACTCCCATGCTCACATTATCCAAAATATGCAAATATATGAATGCAAAAGAAAATTCCAAATGAAGTTTGATGCCTTTTTAGACTGATCTAAACAGACAAGTAAACTTTCTCTCTTCTTTCCCACTTGTAAATATGAAATGTGTTTAAATCTTTCTTTATTAACACAGAGACTGTATAAAAATATTCAGCTTTAATTTTCACTTGCAAAGCTTTCATGCATACTAATTCAGCCAATGTTCACAAGACAGATCGTAGATTTATGCACCTACAAGGAAGACCCATTCACATATATAACATCTCACCAGTCTCACTGATGGCTCGCTGCCATAAGCCGCCACACTGCCAGACTCGCAGGATGCTACCCACTGTGGCTTCAGTTGTCTGACACCAACTTCATGCAACCTACAGTAGACATAGGCCTAAAGCATATTGCCAGTAGAGTGTTCAGGAGCAAGGTACCATAATTTAAGATGCAATACAAAATGCATTGCTTGTCATGAAGCCATGCCCCTCAGGAAGTCTACAAATGGCCAATAGTCTGTGCTGCTCTTCAGAGGGCACTCACATGCTCACAGAAATAAGCTAACAGGAATCTCATGAAGTTCAAAGAAAAAGAGGTATATTATATCCTGCCCCTGGGGAGGAACAACTGCAGGCAGCTGGCATCTGGAAAGCAGCTCTACAGTCAGATCCTTCTGGGCCTGGAGGAGAAGGTGAAAGTCATCCAGCAACACCTTGCAGCAAGGCCAGCAGACCCTGCGCCATGCTGGGCAGTGCTCACCAGCAGGCCAAGGAGGGGGATTTACTTAAGCTTTGTCATTACATTAAAATATAATAAACAAAACTTTTAGACTATATTAACAAAAAAAACACACAAACTGAATTGAATACTTTATAGGATAAAGCAAATAAAAGTAAACTGAATTCTTGCAATACCACTCTATCCCAACTAATCTCATTATTTGATTCAAGGTCTAAAATATTGCATGAAGTAAAACTAGAGAAATTTCACATTTTAAGATTTTCCAGAAAGTTTATTTTTGTATATATTTAAATATAAACAAGAGCAATAATTTTCCTCTACTCCTTAATTTGAATATCATCTGAAGATCTGGAAGAAAACAAGACCCCACTAGGTTATTGGTGTTTGTGTGATGCACAGTAACATTCATAAGAGAGAAATATACTGAAATACATATTAAGTTGACCATTTTTCTCAAAGAGAAATTTAAAGCGGAAGGTCTAGATCCAAACAGGAGCACTAGGGAAAAATGTTCATTGTTTCTCTCATCAGGCCAAACAGCAGTACTACCCTGGGAAATCAGAGAGGATTTGGGCAGACTGCCCGCTCAACTTATGGCTCATCTGAGATTCACCTATATCTGCTTAGCTATCCAGCTAGGATTTTTCGTTGTTGTTTTCATGTCCATATGATTCCAGTGCCTTTGTGCAACACAGAGCCCTCTCTGCCTTCTTCCCCAACTGAAAGGAGGCAAGTGTCTCAATACCTGTGTCAGCAAATCTATACCCTCCCACACCTGATCCAAAGTCCACTACAGCAATGGGAAAGCAAAGTGAACTTTCATCTCTCAAAGATGTTGGGAGACTAAAGTAGGTTGCAGGTAATCTTGGATCCAAATAGGAAAAAAAAGCAGCCATCAAGTTGTTGTGGTTTAACCTGGCAGATGACTCAGCACCACACATTTGTTTGCTTACCCTCCCCTTCCCAGTGGGATGAGGAAGAGAATTAAAAAAAAAAAAAAAAAGCCAACAAAGTAGAACCTGTGGGTTGTGATAAAACTATTTACTAAGATAGAAAAAAGGAATACAACAGTAGTTACGACTGCATATTATCTACAAACACATAAGCAATGCACAAGAATTCCTCACCATCCTCTGATCAACAAAGAACTACATTACATTGAGGGCAATTAAGAGCACTCCAGCACTGCACAATATCTGTCAAACTTTAAGATCAATTACTATTCCTCCAAATGGTTTGTATGCTACCAAAAATGACCAGGATACAAATGTATGGGTTAGTAGTGTGCTTTCTATTTTGTGCGATGTAGAAAATTCTTGTGATCTTACATGCTCCTTGTAACAGATGCATGACCTTTGAAACGCTCAAGATCCCTCCTCAAGTGAATGTTTATCACCAAAGAGCTGTCAGCTACCAAGTTTTAAAAAGATTAACTATGCTGAGTCATGTACTTCAAAACACCACGAAACCACCCATGGAATGTTGTTACAGGAGACCAGCGACAAGAAATCCAGCTTGGGGGAAATACTAAAAGTAGCTTCACACACCATATGTTCCCTAAATCTTTATTATAAGTCATTTTTCATTTACTAGCACTACAGGAAAGATCTATGTATACGGAGGACTGACCACACAGTCAGTCCTTTAAGTGTAGGAAAGAAACAAAGAACAAGAAATCAAAATTAGAAAGGCTAATGACTTTCAGAAAGGAAAGAATATAACTGGAAGGTAATAAGGCTTTTAAATAGGCAGGTTACATTTCACACAGTACCTTTACAAACAGTTATTCATAGCAGTGTTCATAAGCCAAGAGCATCATGAACATCAAGTCATTCAGAGTCATGAAAATAAAGTCATTCATAAATGTAAAGGGATTACGAATAGAATCAAAGCAAATGGCTTTAGTTTTTTGAGTTTCTCCTCAATATTATTGTTGTTTGTACTTTTTACTGTACAACTCTAAGAAGTTACTTATATCAGGCAAGTGAAATTATTTACTGTTTATTACTACCCAACTTTCAAAACTTAATAAAGCATGTTTGCCCAATTTTATCACACATAAATAATACTAAAATTAATAGTCTTTCTTAATGTATTTAGGAAATTATTTTAGAAACTCTTTCTCTGTTCTGCCTCCTTTCATCCATTGATCGTTCCCTGTTTTGGGCACTATAGCTCGAGTTTCTTTGGAGTCCTGTACCAAAATACTCGGCAATGCAAATAAGGGCAGCAAGAAAAGACTGACTTACAACTTTTAACCCCCCTCTAAAAAGAATTAGATGATATGAAAGTATTAAGTAGAATATGCATCCTTACAGCATACAAAATACCAGGTGCATTTTAAAATTCTATTAACAAAACCAAAATCATGTAAAAACAGTGATCTGAGTACATAGGCCACCACATACTTAAAAATCAAATCCAATTTAGAAGCAGGCACAGGTTTGTTCAAACAGCATTGTACAATTTCTTTAACACAGAATTTAGATGAACAATATTTTCATTCACTCACAGTTTAGTATAAATATAAAGCAAGGCACCCCTTAAGCATTTTAAATAACAAATTAAACATTTACGTTTTTTACTGTGCAGTCAGGCTTAACATTTATGCAGCTTCAAAACCAAAGTACAGCCTCAAGGGAAGCCTCTCCACTGACAAATTAATACCTTAGAGAATAGAGCTGAATGGTGGCAATGAACTCATTTGTTCCCCCAATAATGAAGAATGACTCTTTCTTTACCACATCTGTGACTGTTGCTATGGTGACCCAGACTTACCTCATTGCTTCTCGAAGTGCTCCTCGCTCACTAAGAGTCGTGTGCTTGATGTCATCAAAATTATTTTCTAGTTTCTCACAGTTCTGCAACAAATGCAAGAACCCATGTAAGTCTCCGCAGCAGTATATTGTACATGTATTACAACTGTCCAGCATCATGCAAACAAAACTGATTTATATTATGTAATCTCACAAATTATGCATTCTGTTTTAATTATACAGTAGTCATTAAAAAGGCACTGAGAACTCAGAAACAAAGTAAACATGAATCTTCTTACATGGTTGTCATGGAAATCTTATAAATGTTCCATAATTAAATGTATAGATTTATCACTTAGAGAAAATAAAATTCTCCTTTACAAATACACAAAGCAACACAGCATACAGAAAAGAACAAAATCCTAAATGTGAATTGAAAATAAGTTACGAATTCTGTCCCAATGAAACAGGCAGTGTTGTTAGAACAAACCAAGCTTTGTTAACACAATTCTGAATGTGGTAAGAACTAAAAAGATTGTTTATAGAGACTTCAATCACTTAATATATTTTCCAGATTAGAATTCATCAATATTTCTAAAGCTGATATGAAGACAAACATTTTGTGACAATAAAAGAAATAAAATCTCCCTATCTTCTGTTGCTTATTTTTAACTGTGCAAATGGTTAAGTTACTTCAGAGACACTTTCCTTCCACTCCCATACAGGCAGTAAAATTGATTCAGAAGATACTGAGTAAAACAAAAATTTGCATCTGTACAAAGTGATTGTGAAACACAGCAGATGAGTTCTCTAATCATCTGCATCATCCATAGCATTTTATACGCCCGAGGCTCTGAGGTATTGCTGTCCTCTGCAATGCTTTCTGCCAATACCAAAACTTACCTCTGGGAGGCATAACTTTGCCACATGGGTTGAGAAGCAACACAAGTTGCAAGCACCATTAGCAGTTATCATCGCTAACAACTAGAAAGGCAGCATTATCAGGCTCTTTAAATAGAACATGTGAACTGTTAGTTGGTCATACGCTTCCACACATCTTAATATCTGAATTAATTTTGAAGTCCATACCTAAAGTTATAATAAATAACTTATCTATTATTTCTTGTGCATTGATTCCTTATAGTTATACTCAATTAGAAGTTACAAGAGCATTACTGGAGAGGAAATAATTAGATATTTGTCAATGATCTAACAAAACATCTTAATTTGTCCAGTTATTTCTAAATTCAATTTCAGATGTTTTAATACAAAGTTTTAATACTTCAACAATACATTTCTGAACAGTAGAAATGAAGAAGTCTACATTCAGAACTCTCCATTCTTCTCTCCCATACAAAAATGAAAACATAGAATTGTTAAGATTTGGAAATACCTCTAAGTTGATCTACCTCCAATATAATCACTAAAACATGTGGTTAAACACCACATCAACCCTTTCCTTAAACATATTGAGGGTTGGTGACTCCACACCTCCCTGGACAGCCTGTTCCAGTGCCTCATCACTCTGAGACAAAGTTCTTCCTAATATCTGATCTGAACCTCCCCTGGTGCAACTTGGGGCCCACTACCTCTTGTCCTATGATGCATGATTTAAGTAGCAAATCTTATGGCTAATCTGATATTTTTGTTTATATTACAATCAGATGTCCTTTGTATGTCAAAATCCTACCAAAAAATTCAAAGGGATTTTACCAAACAGGTAAGCTCATTTAAAAATACGCAAAAGAAACCCAAACTGACAATGCTAATACAGAAAGAATTCCAGATTTATCAGTACTAAACTGAAAGCATCTGTGCAAGCATACAATCAAATTTCACATCCTTCAGGAAAACAGATCAAGGGAAACAACATATGGAATATTGCTCCAAGCACTGAAAGACTAAAGCCCGTTTATTAACAGTCTTGTGCCACTGGCAACTCACCACAGGTTCAGGAAAATCTGAGCATCATGCAGCTCATTTCTCTTGACATTATGATATCAAGCATGTAGAGAACTGACAAAGGATCGAAAGCTCACAAGATTTTATCAAGCAGAAACCTAAATCCTCTCTATATCCTACAATCTAAAATAACTGATGGTGTCTAAGTGGGAAACACTAAAGTAAGTCACTCAATCCTTTTCAGTTGGTGTTTCCCATTTGCCTATATGGACCATTCTATATTAATCAGTTGAAGGGCAGCAAGGGTGGCCAGCACCTAAAGAAAAGTCTGATCACATACACTTGCACAAATACTCCTTAAAACAAAACACAAAAAAACACATAAGAATATGGAAGTAAATAGAAAACACAGAACAAACAATGGAACATAGTTTAAAGATTCAAATAGTAAATGTTATAATAATTCATTTGGGAGGATGATTTTTTTTTTTTTTTAACCAATTTCACAAGCTGTTCTAGACAATATCACATCTACCTTTCTCAGCTACCTTCACCTAAACAGTTCCCATCCAAAATACAGCAGCTGGAAAGCCTGTAGTTTTGCCATTAGGAAAAAAATGACCTAAACACTAAGGCAGATGCAAACCCACTAAAGGAAGATGACCTCACAGTATAATCACTTACTGCTTAAGTATTGAAGAAGTGAGCAACTACTGACAGTAGCTACTATTATTTTCTAGTTACAGGTGCAGTAATCCAGTAAAACAGCGTGGATCTCCCAATGAAAAGAGAACAGCAGTCTGAAAGACTAAAAATAAGCACAGCTACGTGTCTATTAATGTTGTTTCTTCATGGGTCTGAGCATCAGTTTGCACAGTATGTTTCTAGGCATAGATATGTTTTTAAGATACCTTAAAAGGATATCAGTCGATAAGAAAGGCCCCAATATGTATGAAATTCTGAGCACAATAATACTCTGAAGAACACATAAATGGTGAAACTTCAGTAGAGCATGACCAAGATGAGTTTTGCATTTCTAAATATTAAATCAGTAGCAAAACCTGCACTCATTTTATTATCCATGTGTAACATGATGGAAAGTGTAGCAGTGGCAGCAGAGCAAGGTTCTAGGCTGCAGCAAGTGAGGACTTGGTCAAACGTAACAGCCATGGGCTCAGAAATGAAGGAAAGAAACTGTTTACTTTAGGAAGGCTTTAAATACACAGGGATCTCCAGCAAGATACCTTTACCCCCCACTGGCAGCCCTTAAATGAGGTTGGGGAAGCAGTGGATCCCAGCTCCACCCCTTCTGGTCACCCAGGGGCATTACATGCACCTGAGTTCCCCTGAGTTGGCCCTACCTTCCATCAGGTGCTCAATCACTCCTTCAAGCCATGACTTGCATTTCTTCTACACCATGCTACTAACTAGATTAATATGTGTATATACATCTTGCAAAGAGCAGAGTGTTTTGGTCCATCATACTTTACAGATTTAAGTATAGTGAGCAATTAAACCCCCAGGTGTTCAGTTTTCAGCAACAATTCAAGTAGAAAATTCAAAATACAAACAATGAAAAAATTGATTTCAGAAGGTTACAGCCAATTAATTTCTTTGGGTATAGATAACATCTAGAAATTTTAACTCCGCAGTTGAATAATTATATTTTACTCTATACCTCCTGTATGCTATCACTGTTGGCAGATTCATAGTATGTATGACACTAAACTAAATAATACCTCGGAGAGGTTCAGGATGAAAAATAAGTAGACAGATACAGTTAGGGACACTGCTATCATAAATCAAACTATCATTGCATGTCAAAAAGCCACAAAAATCTAAATACTTCTTTTGCTATAGCATAAACACTTTGAAGTTTTCAAATGAGCCAAAAATCAAGAGAGAGGGGAACAGTTTTGATACATATAAGTGAAAAGCTTATTGATCATTTGAGATCTTAACTAAAGCTACATGATAACTAGTTAAAAAGGCAGCTGTGCACTAGATATCCACAAGTATTTGGCATTTCATACAGTGTACTGGTGGAACATCTAATCAGAAATCAGAAAGATGAACAATGAGAGTATGAAGATAATGAAGAAGTAAAATTAATGCACAAATTGGAAAGCTTCTTTTACTATAAACATAAGGCAATGACTTTCTTACTTCAACTTATTCCTGTTAAAAAAGCAGTAAGTTTTTGGAGGAGGAACTATGTGCTCATAAATCTATTTTTTCAGACATGGCAACTGATAATTGTAACATCCTGGTATCAACTTCATAGTATTCTGTTTTTAAAAGTGTGAAGTCAGCAACTACCAAGTTGAAAATACTCATACTTTTTGGTACTTGTTGAACTAACCAGTTAGCTCACACAAATACAAATACTCACTATTTCTAAATACAATTCTAGGATTCTAGAAAAAGTGAAGTCGTACACTTAAAAAAAGGACTCTAAATGTTTGTCAGATTAGTTTTCTTATTTCCCTGTGTTTGTCAAGCCCTCTTTTCTTGACTTTGTCAGAGAAAGACAATTGTTGATTTGGGCTAGTGGATCAAATGCACACCTCAGAAAACAAATTTGCTCTATTGCCAGGTTTCATCAATGAGGATCAGCATGAAACACAAAAGCATTGCTGTGACAGGCCTAAAACCTTCGAGGCCACAATTTAAATTCACCCATTCTGCAATACAGCTCTGATAAAAATGACCCCACTTCCATCAAAATCAACTACAAATCTTCCATCCAGGCAAAGAAGAACAAGATCACACTGAGCCATATGCTGCTCTATCCTGAAATACTTCACATAAGACTTACAAAAGCATTAGTATTACAGATAATGTCTTGGACACGTTTCTAGATAGTTGAGAAATAAAATCTTTTGATCTGACAACAGAGTAAGACCTATTCTAAGACAGCCTGCAACACCAAAGTAGAGTAGATCTTTTATCCTAGTTGATACACTGCCAAATCAGAAGCCTTACTTAAAATACCCCTGCCCCCCTTTAAGACAGAAGTTTTTAGGTTAGGAGAACTGCCAAATTCTTAGAATTTATTGCTTCCACATGAACTTTGGAGAATTTCTAAGGAAGCCTGTTTGTAAATATAAATCTCAGATTTATTTTTACTGTTGAACATTCTCTGTATGTAAACCATAAGAAATGAACAGCAACAAAGTTAAAAGAGCAGAAGAGCTCTCACC